AGCCAGCATGCTGGCTGGGGAATTCTGGGAGTTGAAGTCCACTCATCTTAAAGTGGCCAAGTTTGGACAACACTGCAGAAGGCTATTCTCCAGGAGAACGGAACGACGAAAACAAAGCTGTTTCATTTCCTGCCATTTGGCCACAACGACCACAAAGCTACAAAGGAGACCCTTGCGGACTGCAAAACTCCCCCCACCCCCCACCCCAAAGGAAATAAAATTAATCCTTTCAGTTAATTTCCAGTAAGCTCAGGCACTGATCGAAAGTGGTGCCAATGGAGGCTTTAGAGATTGTGCTGGTTGGTGAGATCAAAATAAAGGTTTTAAACGTGTTCAAAAGTTAATAAAAACGATAGGACTCAAGATACCGCATCAGCTTTCAGAGACAGAGAACTCACTCTTTTGCTGCAAATGCGGCAGAATCCTGCGGCACCTTCGAGGGTGTATGGCAGGGGGGTCAAAACAGTCAAGATGGTGGCCATGGCCACACAGTCAAAACCCCTCCCTTTCTAGCATGCATTGGGAAGGCGTGGGGCTTCAATCACACAGTTGCAGCCACCACCTTGACTTTTTCAATCCCCTCATGGACATCCCCAAACACCTTAAAGAACAAATGTTGTTACCACGTAAGTTTTTTGAGTCCCAGTCCCCTTCAGCAGATGCATCCAGCTGGGATATTAATCGATATAAAGTTCTTCCTGGAACCCTCTTTACTTGCCTTCCTACAAAAACCCTGAGAACATCCACCCATATTTAAATATTGAGGTTTTGTAGATGATTACATGCCCAGTATTAGCCCGGGAGGCAAGAAATGCCCGCCTCAAAGAAGTCTGCCTGGTGCCTGCTTTGTAATTATTTAGCAACCTTCTTTTACTTTCGTCTGCTATTCTTGTCTTTATGTAATTTTTAGATTTCCTGATGTGGTCACTTAGCTTTCCATTGCTTGGAATCAATTAATATTTTGTTTTAAACATGTGACATTTTCATTACAGGTAGTCCTCACTTAATGACTACCCTATTTAGTGACCCTTCGACATTATGACGGTGCTAAAAAAGTAACTTTACAACTGGTTCTCATGCTTACAAACATAGTGTCCCGTGGTCACATGATTGCCATTTGCGCACTTCACAGCTGGTTTCCGACAAGCAAAGTCAATGGAGAAACTGGCAGTAAAATCACAAGTCGTGGTCACATGATGTTTCGCTTAATGATTGCAGGTGATTCCCTTAACAACCATGGCAGAAGTGAGGTCATAAGCCCATCATGGTCACGTGATGTCTCGCTTAATGACCGTGTCACTTAGCGATGGAATTGCCAGTCCCAATTGTGATCATTAAGCAAGGACTATGTTGCAATATGGGCTTGATTTGCATTTTTTATGGTAAGTTGACCTGGAAGCTAAATAGGCTGACTCTTAATTTTTTAAAATAAGTAATAATTTTCACCAAAGGCCCAACTTCTTTTGGTGCAGAATTCTGGGAGTTGAAGTCCACACATCTTAAAGTTGCCAAGTTTGAGAAACACTGCTTTAATTGCACCATTGTGGCTACCATCTTGATTTTTTTATTTTTTACCATACCCTGTGGATACCCCATTTAGCCTTTAAAAAAGATGACTAAGAGGCGTATGACGGCACTCTTTAAACATCTGTGAGAGAGTCTTCTTCTGTGTGGCTGCTGAGTCTTTCAGAATTTAGGAAAATGGCAGAAATCCATCTTCTCGCTGAGCTTTCAATGATATTGATTTCAATAATGCTGATTTTACCGTTGTGTTTTCTATCTTGTATTTTATCATCATAAGCCACTTTGGGCACATATATAAACAGAAAAGAGAGGTATAAAATCAGCAGGAGCAGCAGCTGGAAAGAATTCAGACTCCTCCTCTCTTTTCAGTGTCATTTTAAGTAACATGTTCTAGAGAGTTATTTCTATGATTTTGTTTTGTTTTGCATAAGCCCTTTTTGTAGGTTAGATTTCAAAGATGGCTGTTCTAATAGTTGGAAGAACATTAACAATAAAATCCTGACAAGGGATCTATTTGCGGAATAAGGTCAGTAATCAATTATGCCAGTCTGTTTGATAGCTTGCTGTGACAGGTTTGCTAAGCAGGGCAGATAAAATCATTCACATCCGCTTAGGTGTAGACTCCCTGTTGGAGACAGTAAAGAGAAGACATTCCTTTAAAACAATTTGCCAGCCATTGATTAGTTCAGTGTTTCTCAACCTTGGCAACTTGCAGACGGGCAGACTTCAATTCCCAGAATTCCCCAGCTGGCTGGGGAATTCTGGGAATTGAAGTCCACACGTGTTAAAGTTGCCAGCGTTGAGAAACCCTGCTCTAGTGGGTAATTCATCCCTAAACCAGATTAACTTATAAAAAGTAGGCAAAGGGATATGTGGGTAGAGAAAGATTGAACCTGATTGTTGAGGAGCTTTAATACAATTTAATTCTAGTTAATTAATCATACGTTTTAAAAACAGTGTTTGACTTGTTAGTGTATTATCATTGATTATATGAATGGTTAGATGGATTTTGTGAGTGACTATGAAACCTATATGTGGCAAAAAGGAACATGATGGTAGAAATAATAAATTCTGTATGACATTAATGAGGAATTTCAAATAGATTCACAGCAAATTTATTAGTCTGCTTTTCTAACCCATCTTTTGGTTAATCAAGTGAAGTTTGTGTCCTCTTCAGCACAACACTAGACATGTTTTAAGAAGAAATTTAAGAAGAAATTTCTTCTTTAAGAAGAAATTCAGTGGTGTCTATAGAGGATATACTTCCTAAGGTTTTTTTTAGGATCCCAGGAAGATATCAATCAAAATCTATGTGTATAAAGTGATCTGATCTCATTCTCCTTAATTTCCTAGACAGACTAATGAACAAATGGTGGTTGGCCTATTTTAGAATGGGTGATGGTGCAATAAAATTATTGTCTAGAAGGAATTGGCAAATTTGCAGCAACCACACAATGAAAAAAAAATGAATAAATTGAAGGTTATATGGTAAGAATATAACATCTGGCTTCTGGTGCAGTGTAGCATTCAACTTCCCGTAGGTCATTACTAATTTAGTTGACTTTGATGTATTATTACTTTTGATCTTTCAAATCTCATTGTGCTGAAGCTAATTATGCTCGTTACCCAATTTAATCTTAGTGGTTGCTCTAATGTGTACATCTTTATTTTATGATCATGTTTTCACTGAAACACTAAATCTTAAAATGGGCACCCATTTAATCTTTCCCTGCCATCGGTCGTACTGGTTTTAAAACAATGTACAAATGTGTTTCACCCCAGGTGAAATATTTGAATACACTTCTCACGCATGGAGCTTCATTATCTACCAAGCAGGGATACAAGTATTTCATTGATGGGGAAGGATTCTATGCATGGGGGACTTCAAATCTCTTCCAGCACTACTATATGGTGTAACTCAGTGCTCCTCAACCTTGGCAACTTTAAGATATGTGGACTTCAACACCCCGAAATCCCCCCACCCCGCCCTGCCTGGGGGGGGGGTTTGGGGGGGGGAGCCGCATTAAATTTTAATAGTAACGCGGTTGAACAACTGTG